CCCAGATTATACACATTTTGGGCTTTGCTATGCTTCAATTTTTCCATTTCCTGGTCCCGATAGTCTAGGTCTGTGAGATGCAAAATGTGAACTCTAATAGATTTCATGGCTCCTACTTTCACCCCATAGTTGTGATTAGAAAAGGAATTAATAAGGAAATCCGCATGTATGAGATTTGCAAACACATCTCCAACTGACCTAGTTCCTTGTCTGTACTCACTAAGGCTCTTGTCACTCGATGGTAAATTTAATAATCAAATCTAGCCCTTGCATTGGCTCACATATTCCTTCCGGCCTGTCTTGGTCGTGTTGCCAAGTGGCAATGTAGCCGCTAAACCCAGCCATTAGCGTGAATTAAGCAAAACGCCAATCGAGCAGGTTGGTTATCGGCTAAAATTGCAAGTAAACCTCGTGTCTACACGCACACTTTGCCAGTGAAGCCAAAATATGTGCTATTAATTAGCAAATTGGTCAGTCTAGCAATCTCGAAACTCGAATTATATACGAAAAGATAATTTTCGTTTTCTCGGTTGGTGAACAACAAGACTGGTCCATCCATGACGAGCTTTCGACTGCCTCGCCGTGTAGACATCTTCAGAGCCAGAATGCAGCATTTTAGAAAAGCCACTAATACGCAAATACACAAAGAGTTGTCGCCTGCGATCCTCTTCTTTTTCAAACTAGCCAACCTCCTGCTTTGATGCATTGGTCGGGCACATGTCGTTAATGATGGTTTCCGGCTCTGATAATGTTCGTCATGGAAGGACAGACGAAGGCGCATCATGAAGGGATCGGGTTCATAGGGCGGTGAGCTTAACAAAATCCGTCTTATCAGCTTTCCAAAGAACACGAAGGACTACAACAACCTGAAGATCCTTCAAACCCCAGTTTCTCTTCCCAGTTAACGAATTGTTAACTATTTCTGTACCGGCCTTCTTCAGATTCTTCGGCTACGCATTGTGGGGCCAGTAGTGAGCCCCGCTTTCCTTCATTACTTAAATTTTATTCACTCACAGTAGTCCATAAAGTACAGGATGCAATACAAATTCCCTCTTTGACGAGAAAGCCGGTGGGGAGAGGCGTATCCAAGTGGTACAGGCAGCGGTACAGATTACTTTTGAGTTGCGATAGCAATAGTCTGTTTCTTGCAGGTCACCAGCCCAAGTTTTACATGCTAATAAACGCATGATTAAAAAAGGGTCATCTAGTGGCATGTTGGAAATCTTTAAAAAATGTCTTCTCTGCCAGTTTGGGTTGATGCGTAAAGTGACATTTTATAAAAACCGGACATTTGGGTGGAAGTTGCATTCTGTCAAGAGGCCTAGGTCGTCTGGAATGTGGTTGTCGGACTGTCAAATCAAAAGCCAAGTATGCAATGCTGTTGCAACAGCATGGCGGAACCTAACTGATGCAAAGCATGTACACACACACACACACACACGCACATGCAAACACACATGTGTATCATAAAAATGATAATTGGGGTGAATCGAAAGAGCTTTTCCCAGCTTCCTGACCTCCACTGCGCCAAATTTACAGACTGGAAGTCCACGTTTCACCGCCATTTCCCTGTCACTGGTTCGAGCTGCTGACCTACCGAAACGCGAGGCTCTGGAGCGAGCCAACAAACTCTGACGTCTTGAAGAGGCTGTCGAAATTCCTGTTGGTTTCGGCAAATTTTCGCGGAGGCCCGTTCGAAATTGGGCCAGCCGTGAGAGAGAGAGAGAGATGAGGTTTGCGAAGCCATGACGGACAGCTTCATGGCTTGCGAGGAAGGCGAGGTGAGGTATGCTCCGAGGTCGAGAGCCTCCGAGTTGCCCTCGAAACCACTATAAAGGCTTCGCTCAGTAGCACAATCAAGGCCATAGATTGAAGAGAATAATAAAAAGAAAAAGAAGAAGGGGTGGTTCCCAATACGGGACATCCCCTTATTTTTCGTCAGAAAAACCGGCTACATCCACCACGTGAAGCCCAGAAGATGGAATTTTCTCATGTAATGCCAAATGTATGAAGTGGTTGGGGTGAATAACACACGATGAGCGTCTGATGTCTGTAGATGCCAATTCGGCCGGGCAGCATCATGCCTCCAAAAGCAAGGTCATTAGTTCAGATTATTTGGGCTTTTGGTGAAATCTTCTTTGCATTTCGGCGCATCGCCAAAACCGAAATCGGCAAGACTCTTTAGCAGGCCACAGCAACGCCCGACTAGTTGTTAACCAAAGGCAAGTTTTGTTGGCATTTCCTTCCGTTCACGCATTTAGAGAGTTTTGAGTAAGATATAGGAACAGTGAACGCTGACTGAGTAGATATAAAGTTGATATGGGTTGCGAAGTTCGTTAAACCAAAGGAAATATGTTGCAGACGGTACCGAGTCAGCATCTTTTTTGCCATAACCGTTTCTTCTGTGGCTGGCATTAAAGTAACTTTTATTTATTTGTAGGCTAGATTGATTGTTTAAAGTAATTTTTAGTTTTTATGACAACAATTTTCAAATAAGACATGGAGACTAGCTTGGTTTCGATTATTCTCTTGCGATGGCATTGTTGTGCAGACTTTTATTTCATATGAAAATATGTGATGAAGAGATTTGTCGGTCGAGTTCATGATAAGACGACGGCTAATTTCCGTTGTTCTGCAATCGGTTGACGCTGTCCACGAGGCATTCCCCCTCGATTCGGGGGAAAATGGGCTGAGCTTCCTTCCGTCATATGACGGACATCTATAGAGCTGAAATTCCCTCTTGAAAAAGCTTCAAGTTAACAAAAAGCCAAGAAGACTATCCTGCTCTGTCCTAATTCTCATGTATACTCATAAATAAAGACGAAAATATGCAAAAACAGCTAAATATATACTGATTCGGTATAATACACTGACTAATATGAAAGAGAGAAAAACAAATAATTCTATATCTATCAATCTCAATATGTATATGTTTATTTCGAAATGTGAGTAAATATGGCATAAGGGATACAGCCGGATAGATTTCGTGATTTTATGCCAACTTGAGGACTCTGAAAGAATGAGTTCCAGCTTTAATGATGCCTGTCATATGACGGACTAAACCTTATTCCCTTTTAACCCGAACCGAGGGGGGATGTCCTGTGGACTGGGTCAACCTGAAGGTTGCATTAAAAACAAACGACGTGAAAAACGACGGGAATCATCCTTCATCTTTCAGTGAAATAAACCAAAGAATCTTGTCATCATGAACTTGCAGGTGGAATGAAATTATCCACAACAATCTCCAAATAAATGCACGTTGAGTGTGAAGAGAAGCCGAAAAAGGATTGTGATCAAAGACTTGTGTAAATAACTTCTCAGCACATCGTCTCGCCATCCTGATTGATCCGTGTCGAGTTTTCATCTGCCCAGCATTGAAGGACATCGCCAGTGTCCAAAACCTGGCCTTACGAAAGTTTAATAAGCACTGGTTCTTGTGTCTTAAACTTATTCAAAATTCTTGAGTCGTAGCCCAAAGGCAATCTTCCTTCGGCTTCTGCTGAGTATGATTTATGAAACGTTTCCTTCGCTTTTTCAACTTTGCTGATAAGTAACACAACATTTCATTATTTTTCCTTATCTTCATTAGATCAAAATGAGGTTGGGACTAGTTCCTGATTTAAGACTTTGTTTATTTCTCTTTTCCCATCTTATGTTGGTATAAATGATGATGTGGGTGAAATACATTTTCTGAGCAAATTTGTTTTAGTACGTCTCTCTTTTGACAGCTTTCAGAATGAGTTTTGAAAATTCTCCACCTAAACGGCTCTTTTCACGGCAGTGGTGATGCTGGTGCCAGTTTGTTGTTTCGCTTCAGAGACTTGAAGATAATTAGACAGGATCGTTTTTTTCACTCGTTTTCACCGTGAGGATGCATGTCTTATGCTGACACTTTTGCCTTGATTAGCTATTTTGGGTACCAATGATTTCTTGCGATGACCCCGCATCTTTATATGTTCAGACGAGACAAATATGGATCTCATTCTCGAGACAAGCTAGCATAAAGCATAAAATGCAGTAAACAGGTCCCGAATTTATCAGTCTTCATGATATGCCGAAAGGATAGGTTTAGAAAAATCTCTAAATAAACTAGTATGACTCTACTTTTCATTTCGAAGGAAAAGTTGGTTGGTAAGGATTATCCGAAGACCGAAGAAGCAAAGTGAAGACTTTTGGAGTGCGCAAAGAGGCTCTCCACACAATTCTACAGTCTTCACCCGGTTTCCTGTGAGATCAATTAACGAATAATCTGCAAACAACACTTCCTTTCAAATTAAAAGTTTAGCCACATTTCACGCATCATTGCTTGCATAAGATGATTTTGGATTGATAGATGAATTTTCACACAATGAAGTGAGTATATTCGTCGATTGTACTGGCATCTACAGTATGCCTTATTGACATACTCACCATAAGTAGTAACTAGGCGAGGTCTGGTCTGTTTTAAATGTCAAATCTTCTCTGTTATTTTGCCAACACGACTTGGTTTCGAATCCAGTCTATAGTGCTGATGAGATAGAGGCAAGCTCTGGCCCGGAGGAAAAAACCTTCTGGGAGGCAATCTAATGTGGATTTTGCAAATGAGCCGTTTTGTGATGATGCAGGACTAAAGATATAAATCGTGGAGCTAGCAAAATGCAGAATGCATAAGCACTGGATGAGCCTGGTAGAAGCTCAGTTGCAAGACGGGCAGAGACACAATTGTCCTGACACTTGATTGAAGGGGGCGTCTGGAATGAAGGCTTAAATACAATTTTGGAAAAGCATATTTTGAGTCAGTTGTCTTCGAAAGTATCAGTAGATTTTGAGGAAGCAGCATATTCCGCAAGATGCCACTGAATTTCACTCAGCACTGCCTCTAAAAGGGTCAAGTGGCTCTAGCTACCGAGGGAGCACTGAGCTCCATTGCTGCTGGGTTGTACCAAACGCCAGCCCGAAGGCCACTTCTGTAAGAGGAAGTCAACGTTTTTATTGGCTTGGTGGTACACGTCACAAACTGGTCAGAGTCTCGGGAAAAACGAGTATAGGAAGCCTAGCGACAAGAGTAGTTACGACGACAACTAGACGATATCATTTAATCAGAACCTCATTTGGATGCTTTGTATTACCATGACAACAGAATTAAGTCTGTTTTAGTAATGACTCTTGGCAAAGTGCCTGCCCCTATTTGTTTTAAAATGGCCTCGAGGACAGTCTCGGAATAATTCTGCTTTCTTGTGCTGTTGGGATCACTTTCTTTAACCTAAATTCCTTCCATTCTTTCAGACATACAGTTCAACGACAGTCGTTTCTGTTAGAAGGGAATACATTCAGGTGCAAGATACCGGCGACACTGCTCCATATGGCGTCAGGGCGAACAGTGAACAATGACAGAGAACTTGAAGTAGTCACAGACATAAGAAGAGTAGCAATAAAATGAAATATGTGTAGGATATTAGAATTCTAGATATGAAGAGGAACTAGGCCTTGATGAATCTCTTGATATAACATTATTGGGGGACTTTCATTTCGTATGAAAGTGTATGAAGAAGAGATTCGTAGGTCGATCTCACCAGAAGAGGACGGATAGATCCCGTTGTACTGCAGCCGTTTGGCTTTTATACGACGTTCAGGTTGACACAGCCCACAAAACATCCTCCCTCGTTTCGGGTGAAAACGGGCAGAGATTTTGTCCATCAAATGATGCACATCATCAGACCTGGGACTCATTCTCGTAAAGAGCCCTAATGCAAACTTGAGACTTGTGAAAAAGACTGCCGCATTTTCATCAGAACATCCCGCAAGTCTTAACGTTTTGTATCACTTCATGCTTAGTTCCTGAAGGTGGTTTAAGAAATGAATTTCGCTTATATAAGATCAGTATTCAACCTATTTCGTTTCGACTCCCAGTAATCTGTGATGTATAAACTTTCACATCTGACGAGGCATCGACTGATTTGCATACTCTCCTTACATACTCTCACATGAGTTGAGTGGCTGTAACTGGCGTATGAAATAACTGGGCTTCTGATTTTTCTGCTGAATC